TTCAGGATGGGTCATGAAAGAACTCAGTACTGACTAGAAAACAGTAGCCTATGACAGGTTTAGAAAGCTGGACTTTCCAACTGGATCTTTTCCCTGGGCTTTCCAAGGCTTGTGTGTATGCAGTTTTGACTTGAAAACACAGAGCGTCACGTTAGGTGGGAAATGCTTTCCCTCTTTTTAAAATAACATTCATTCAGGTAAAGCTTAAATGCAGGAAAATGCATCTAGTCTAAGCATATATTATGACAAGATTTGACAAACTTCTGCATTTCTATAATGACCATAACTATCAAGAAATAGATACTGTGTCCCATTTGGTAGCCACTAACTACACTTGATTAGCTAAATTCAAGTCAACTAAAATGAGAAGCGGTTCCTCAGTTGTACTGGTTGCATCTCAAATGTGTGATAATTGGTGCCGCGATCATCCCTGGGACTGCCCAGGGCAGAGTGGAAGGCGCTCCCTTCATTGCCAAGGCTCTGCAGGGCCGCAGTGGTGGCATGGAGAGTGTATCGTTCCAAGAAGTCCTTTCCGCTCTTTCTCAGGAAATCCTCAATCCCTGTCCCCTGGCCTCTGGGAATCACCGGCCTGAATTGTCACTGTGAACTAGATGTGCGTCTCTCAGAGGTTCACATATATGCACTTTTTCTTTGATTTTCCTTCTTTTGCTCAGCAGAGTTGAGCATATGACTTACATGTGCTGCTACACGCGTGCTGAGTGCACTCCTCTGTCCTCCTGAATAGCATTCCCTGTGTGGTTACGCCGCAATTCATGCATCTGTTCACTTATTCGTCACATTTGGACTCTTTTCATTTTAATATGATTATGACTAAAGCAGTTAGGGATTTTTTTTTTTTTTTTTTTGAGACAGTGGCTCACTATGTAGCACATGCTGGCCTCAAACTCATGGTGATCCTCCTGCCTCAGCCTCCAGAATGCTGCAGCTGCAGGCATGTGCCATCATGCCTGGCAGCAGTTAGATTTGTGTGAAGATGTGTGTGTTCATTTTTCTTGAATAAATATCTGTACTTGGACTTGCTGGTCGTATATAAAGTGTGTGGATTATTTCTTATTTCTGAAACGCTTGTACCATTTTATATCCCCAGCAGCACTGTAGGAGACTTTCATTCTTGCCAATTGTTGCTGGTTTGTAAAATTGTTCTAGTAACTACTGGGGCCAGGGTGTACTGCAGTTTCTACCTGCCCTTGCGGGTTCTCCATTTTTCCATGCGATTATGTCAGTTCTTGATCCTTGGTACACATACACTTAGGAATGCTTTGTCTTCTTTATGGATCAGTGCTGTAATTGTGCAATGTACCTCTTTGCTCCTAATCTGAAGTCTATGTGGTTAATAATCCGGCTATTTCAATTTTTGGGTGGAGCTTGAGAAGCCTTTCACTGTGTAGTTGAGGTTGGATTAAACTCTCCACATAGCCCAGGAATGCCCTGAATTTATGCCAATCCTCTTGCCTCAGCCTATCAAGTGCTGGGATTATAGGCATGTGTTGTCGGCTCACTTCAGTTTTGCTTTTAATAAATAATATGTGCATTAGATATGTATTTCTAGCTCTCTACTTCAACCTTACATGCATTTTCATTTAATCGGATATATTTTGCATGGCATGTGCTTTAGCCTTGCCTTTGAAAATCCAGTTTGAGGAGCTCTGATTTTTAATGGCAGTATCTAGACCATTTACTATATTTTATTTTTATTTTAATATTTAATTTATTATTATTGGTCTTTGGTGCTGGGAATTTAATTCAGAACCTTGTGCTTGCCAGGCAGGTGCTGCTCCATTAAGCTGTATCTCTGCTCCCTAGGCCATTTATTTTTAAAAGTGATAATAATGAAGAATAAACTACATATATTTAAAAGCTGCAATTTAAGTTTGAGCATGCATATTCCTATAAATCAATCACTATCTCAATGGTGTATTTCCATTTATATAAATCTTTGGCTTTTTTTTTTTTTTTTTTTTTGCTTTTACTACTACAAATAGAGCTATAATGAATGTTCTTTTGTAAGTCTTTGTATGGGTGCATGTGTTGTTTCTCTCGGTAAATATGCAGCAGAGGCCATGCTAAGTCATGTGATAGGCACAGATTTAATCATTAAAGAAATTGCCCATCTGTTTTCCAAAGCATTTGGAAAATGAGTATGAATCTTTCTTCTCACCAACAGTGCGTGAGAGCTGCATTTGCTTCTCTTTTTTTTCACATTTCATGTGACTTGTCTTTAGTTGGTCTATTCAGCATGGGTTTTCTTTTTTTCTATTTCGGGCTGCCTTAAGAGTGGGTGTGGTGTGGCCCATGGAGCCGGGGATCGAACCGCGGCCCACGTGACTGACTGTGTTTGCCCAAGTGGTGCTTTAAACAATTGAGCTAACTGGCAAACCCCCTGGTATAGGTTTTATTTCATTTGCTTCTTATCATTTAGATGTCTTTTGTGCAATGTTTCTGCTCATAATTTTTGCCTAGTTAAAGAAATGTAGTTATTCATCTTATTCTAGTAGAAGTCCCTGGCTATTACATATGGTATACTTTTTTTTTTTTTTTGCCTTGGTCTTCTGCTTTAATTTTGTTTCCTTAATGGCCTCCTTACAAGTAAGAGTAACATTTTACAATTTTGGTGAAGTTCAATTTATCGACTTATTTATGTGTCATATTTTTGTGCTTTATTTATAGAACTTTTGTCTGCTTAGCAACATAAAGACTGATATTTTCTTTTACAAATTTTAGATTTTTTAAATTCTACTTTTAGATCTGTGATCCATTTGAGCTAATTTTTCGTGTGTTGGATGTAAGGCACTAATTTTTCTGTTTTTGGTAGAGAAATCCAATTGCTCTAGCAACCTTTTCTTCTTTTTTTCCACAGACAATCTGCTTTCCCACTGAAGTGCCTTGAGATTTTTGTCAAAAGTCATTTAACACTTGCATGTGTAGTAAAGCTGCACAAGACATAGCCAAATACTTTATTATAAGTCCCACTGAGATTCTTGAAAGAGTGGAGCAAGTATTAAAAGTAATAATTTACATGGCTATGAATCTTTCTTCTTCAAATAGATCTTGCCTTGAATTATTTCTTAACGTCTATTTCAGAATAAATAGAGAAGTTTCCTTTGATTCTATAATTACATTAATGGGTAAAATCCGTATAATCAGGCCAGAAATCACCCTAGTCATTATTAAACATATATGACTTCTGATGAAGAGATGCCTTGTTCCAGATATCTAAATCTGGTAAGGTCCAAGATCACAGAATTTTCTTCAAATGCAAAAGAACACCGAAGTTACACACACACACACACACACACACACACACACACCCTCAATGAAAAACATCCAGATCTATGGAGGTGATGGGATGACTGCAATTTAAAGCTTTCTATATTAGGAGTGTCAAAATAAGCGAACATCTAACTCTATGACAAAGACAGAAGTATGACAAAGAAAACCCAGTGGCTATAAAAACATCTAAAATTTTAATGATTTAAAAATAGCCTCTACGTACAAGATGGCAAATAAAGTAATACAGATTGAACATTTCGCCTTTGAAGATGTGAAACATCACCACGTAGCTTAGAATAAGTTTGTTATCTTCTAAAAAATATACACCATGCAATGAAATGTACAAGGGCAGACTTAACTTCCTGGTGTTCAGCAATTCCTTTCCTCCACACACTTCTATATGTCACATAACAATACACTTCTAAATCTTCTTTTCGTAGGGCAGAACGTTGAGAATGGTAACGGTTGTTTGGAGAAGCACCTTCTATAATTTCCACTTAATTGTCTATATCACCCCAGGGTCATGCATTTTTCTTAAATCCTTTCCTGGTCCACTGATTTGATTGTTCAGAATTAGTAAGCTGACTTAGTCAAGGAATGCACTGCAAATACTGCAAATGAAAACATGTTTCCCAAAAGTCTATAGTAGTGTGGTCTGCACGGCCATCGAGCAGGGGGCTTCTTGGAAATGCCAGGTGGGGAGCATTTCCTCTGCCCATGCTGAAGCTGATAACCACATGGACTCCACACTGGCAGCTGAGAGAAGACAAGAGCATGGGACAAATGCTGGGACTAGCGGTGCCATGGTGGGTGAGGCTCTTCATCATAAGAACACTGGCCACATGGAGCTGTGAGGGTCATGACCCTCTGCAGCTGCTCTGAGAATCAGTCTGCATATGTGAGTTTTAATAAGGGTGCAAGACCAACAAAAGAGACTGGAATACGGTCAGTGGTTCTGAAGTTTAGTGACCAAGGACCTGGCAAGTTTCTGTGGTAATGGGATAGAAATATGTAACTGAGTGTGAAAAGCCATAACAGCCTCTATTTACAGCCGCAAGATAGAACCATTCCTTGTTTTTGCAGAGAGGACATTCTGATCTAGACATTCTGAGGAGGACCAGGGAGATAGCTCAGCAGAATAAGCCATTATCTGGCAAGCA